GGGGGGGGGGGGGGGGGACAGGAGGGCCCCCCAACATGCTCCCCGGCGGACTCGGAAGTGGACTGGAGGTACTTCTGGTTCACTTCTGAGTCTGCTGACGAGCGTGCTGGGGAGCCCCCCTGCATTTCTGTGGGACACTCCATGAGCTCCAGCATCACAGCATTCATGAGCCACCTGCTACCTTGAGGTATGTAGAAAAAACATAGCTGTGTCTGTGTCCAAATTGCTGAACCTTTCCAAATCTCTCCGCATTGATTTGGAGGGTTCTGATTCAATTAGGAGAGATTAAAGCGTCCTCTGTTCAAGTTGGATTCATAGATTCAGCCACCAAATCAGGCCGAAGCTCTGCCAAATTGAATCAGGGACCAAAGCTTCTCACAACCCTAGTGCTCAGCACCTCAGTAACACATCTACACCCAATATGGGAGCTGGCAGCACTCTTCTATCTGGTGTTGTCTTGCACCAAACAGACGTGCCCTTTGATTCTATTCTTAGTTACCCCAGGTTCTTTTACACAGGTGTAATTTCCTTCCCTTTATTGAGGTTCCTAGCATAAGAGAAGAATCAAGCTTTTTAATTATAGAAGACATGCAGATTAAAGCCTGCCATCTTGAATTTTACTGCACATACTATCTGCCTCAAGGAAGAGTTCAGTCACTGCCTATAGTTCCTTAAGTAACACAAATACTCTTATAAAAAAAATACAGTATCCTAAAAAGAAGCAATAATATAAGGACTGCCACACTAGACTATGTTGAATTCCCTTTTCATCACTCCTACAGAATGGAGGTGCTGAAAAGTATCCAGATCACAGTCAGGAACTTTCCATCTCTGAAATGTAACCTGACGGACCAGCATAACAATTCCTGTCATAAACCCTTGGGTTAGAGGCATGTCAGGAGTACAAGGAATGTGGCTGATGGAGCTGTATTTTAATTACAGTGGTACAAAATAGGTGCAACATTTGACCGCCAGAATTAATGGGCAATTCTAAACTGGCAGGATTTTATGCCCCCTTTGTGCAGATACTGTTTGCTATCCAGTACAGAACCTAGGTTCTTTATCAAATGCCCATCTCTTTCCAGCAAACATTTTATTGCAATGTACACTCTGCTTGTGTGCCAAAGGAAACAAAGAATTAGAAGAGATACTCCTTGAAGCTTAAAGAATGTCTTTTAATAAAGTGCAGTCTTTTTTGCCAAGCAGAGCAAGCAGTGCCCTAAGGCAGGAAGTTCTGAAAGTGAATGACAAGGAAAAGTCAAAAACAGTCTCTTTCTTTGGCCCAATCCAAATCTTTTGAAGTCAGTGAAAGATTCTATTTCCCTCCCAAAAGCAGTACTTTCTGCACTCATAGATACTGATGCCCCTTACCCAAACACTTTAGGGACTTTAGCTAACACTAAGGTTTGGAGATGATCAGGACCTAGCTATATTTAGAGCTCATCAGACCCCAAAGGCATTTTATGCTTAATATGAAGGAATGGTACAATCCATTCACAAGCAAAGGGTTGGAAAATCAGGCATGCCTGCTGTGCAATTAATTAAATGAATGTCAGTCAATTAGAGGTGCACCAATACATCAGTTCAAGATTGGATCAGTACCAATATAAAGAAAATTGACTGTACTGGAAATCGGCCCAATGAGGGCAATAATTTGGCCGATAAATGTCCCTGCATGCACACAGCCACAGCACAGCATGCAGGCAGCGAGGAGCACAGCCTGGCAGCATGGAGAGCTGTGTGCAGCTGGTAAGTCTGGTGTGGTGGAAGGGGAAGGGCAGATTAAAGCACCCTGCAGTGACGGAGGGAGTGGACAGGGGCAGGTGCTGCCCAGCTGTGGTGGGGTGGGGCGTGGGACGAAGCTGTGGCTCATCAGGGGGGCAGCTCCTGCTGCTGTGCACACCCAGTGAGGGCATGGGGGAGCGGGGTGCACATGTGCCCCCAGATTCTACACAGAGTGGAGCAGACAGGCGGCAGATGCAGGCTGGAGCCGGGGCTGCACTGGGCTCTTTTCAGCAGGGGCTGGGCTCGAGGAAGGGGCCATGGAGGGGGCTGCAGCCAGCCCAAATTTCACTGTAGCCGCCCCATAGCCCGGCTTCCAGCACCACAACTGCATCCAGTGCAGCTCTGGCTCAATGCTCCGTCTCCACTCACATGCTGGGAAGAGCTGGGGCTGCACTGGGCACGCAGCAGTGGTGCTGGAAGCGGGGCTCTTGTGGGGCTATGGAAAAATTTGGGGGTGGCTGCAGCCTACTCCATAGCCTCCATCATGAGCCTGGCTTCCACTGAGAAGAGCCTGGTGCAGCCCCGGCTTCAGCCTGCCCGCCCCACCCCACACAAATCTGGGGGGCACATCCCCCGTGCCTTCCTGGGGTGCACGCAGTAGTAGGAGCTGCCCACCCCCCCCAACAAGCCGCAGCTCTGTCCTGCACCCTGTCCCACCCCAGCTGGGCAGCACCTGCTCCCACCCCCTCCCTCCCTCACCACAGGGGGTGTTGATCTGCCCCACTCATGCCCCTTCCCTCCCCCTCCCTGTCCAGCACAACAGACTTACCAGCTGCACACAGCTGCATCAGAAATTGGATTGATATCAGCTAATATGCCTTCTTAAAATCGGCTATCGGTGTCGGCCCCCAAAATCTCTATTGGTGCACCCCTACAATCAATGAATCACACTCGCATCAAAAGTTGGAACAACATGGGACTTACAGTGTACCCCTCAAAAATATCTTGGAAAATTTTGTGCAAAAGACGCTACTATAGAATTATAGAGAAGCAGTTCTGCTATACGTTGGATCACTGTTTTTTTAACAGGTATTTTTAAAGTGCTTTAAAATCTACATTTTATAGTTTTGCCATTGCCATAATATTTGGCCTTCAGTAACTAATTATAATAAAATAGCAATTATAATAAAATAGCAATTAACTCATAGCTTTGTGTTTGAATAAGGTTGGCGGACCTCCTCCGGCAGGCTTTAAACTAGGCTC